TGTAACAACATTCTCATAGGGAGCAGCACGCTGGGCACCCTCCATAAAGAAGTCGTAAAGAGTCGCGTTGTTTGTGGCCCAGGACCAACCTGACTCAGAGCCCTTGGCCACCTTGCTCCATTCCTGGGTAGCGCGGACCATTGGCTCAGTGTGTGATGTTCCCATTACGATACCGTACTCGTCAGCCAGAGGCTGGTTGCGTGCGTCGTCTACGTTGAACATGCCGTTCCACATAGCCGGCCAAAGGTAGTTAGCCTTTGACCTGAGCAGCAGCTCAAAGACATGGGAGTAGAATTGTGCCCCAAAGGCAGAGTTGTATGGAGACATGGGGTAGCGTTCGTTGACCCAGCCGGTTAAAGCGGGCGCCTCATCGTTGATGAAGAAACCGCGGTACTTGACAGAAGGGCTTTTCTGGACCTTGGTAGTCTTGAGGAGGTAGATAGAGTCGTGCTTCTGGGCCGGTACGTCGGCAAACCAATGCCATGGAGATACACCAATTTGCTCAGAGACATCGTAAATGCCGTAGATGGCACCGCGTCGATCGCTACCTGTCAGGGATTAGCACCCAGAGTGGTCAGCTGTTTCAGTGCACATACCAGCAATGACGAGCGCTTCTCCAGTCGTGTTACCAGCGTTCTGCACGACAGTGCTTACATACGCCTCCCACTGGCCTTGAATTCCACTGACGTCGAGCTGGCCACTGGCGATCAAGCTATCAATTAGACTTGAGTTGCCAATGGTACCAACAATGATGGTGCCTGTAGAGGAGGAGTTGGCTGTTTTGCTGCCGCTAACACTCCAGTCTTCGCTAATGCCTGTGACATTGAAGATCATGGAAGCGTTTGCGGTCGCTGTACCAGAAGTCTTCAGGGTACCGTTGGTACCAGTAACGCGTCCGAAGTCGATGGCGAGGTCATGCGCCGCACGCAGAACACCAGGCCAGTCTGCAGCATCGGCATGAATGGTTACTGGAGAACCGCGAGATGCAAGAAGAGCGGTGCCATTGCCGTTGGAAGTAGAGATGGTTGGTTTGCGGAAAGGCTCTATGGCGGAGGCAGAGCCAGCAAGGACAACTGACAGCGACAAAGCGCCAAGTACAGTGCGGGAGAGGCGCTCCATGGTGCTTGGACAGGAATTTGAGCAGACGTCCTGAACAAAGCCTTAAAGACGTGGAAGATACCCTGCTTTTAAATGCTTCCCCGGATCATAGTCTGGTGATTTGCACGTCTACCCCATTGCCCTCAAGCTCCACCAATCTCCACCAATCTATACCTTTAACAACTAGTCACTGTGCATGTGGCAAATGGCGCTCCAATTCTCTGCTAGAGTAATAGAGCATCCTTCGATGCAGATCCAGGAACAGCGGGTTTCCTAGCCCGACCGGCTGTAATGTAAGGCTAAATTGACGCGACATACATGGTCCAATCCTCTTTGAGCTGGAATTCTTCCAGAAGAGCAGACGAAGCAACCTTGGCCATGTGTGGGAACTAGTAGAGTGCATCATGGTCTGAAGTTACGACTGAGTGCTGATGCGGTTGATGTCGACATTCAGGTGTGGGCGCTGTCACAACCGAGTAGAGGGAGAATTATTCCGGGCGTTCTCTTGGGCAACTTGTTCGGCGAAATCGACGACAAAGTGCAGGTGACCCTCTTTTTACGGAGAATTACAGCGTGGCCAGAGAGTGGGAGGCTTGGAAAACGGGTTCTTGGGGCGTTGGGCGGCTCCCCGCGTTGGGGTGAAAAGGCTAAATGTGCATTTCTCCCCACAAAGCGCCATGCCTGTTTGGGCTAGTCTGTCGACGCACGCCAAGTATCTCGAGAAAAAAACGTCGGAGAGGGCAAGCCGAGAATTAGCCAGAGTAGCCGTCTTTGCTCGTGGCTCCACAAATACCACAGTGGAACATTCCGCAGCGGGCTCACCTCGTCCCGTGATCAATACTCGGCGCACGCTTGTCCGAGGTTAATTTTCTCCAAGCCCAATCGCACAGCATTGCTTGTGTCCGAATCTCCGTTCCCATCTTCGCCCCACGCTCCCAGGAACGACCTCCGCAATGGCTCAAGGCGCAGTCAAGAAGACCAAGGCCGCGGCTCCTAAGAAGTAAGTTCAAATCTCCCGCTCATGCCATTGTTTCCCGCGGGCTGTGCCTGAACCTTGGGCACGTCGCCGTAATCCCGTCTGCCTTATCCCGACTGCTCCATCTGATACTGACCATATTTTCTTTTCACTCTAGGCCCTCCCAGCGTATCCAGCACGGCGCCCGCGTCATCAAGCCCAAGAAGGCCTCCATCATCTCACAGAACAAGATCAAGCACAAGAGCAGCGCTGGTCTGGTCGGGCAAACCGAGAAACTCTTGGCCCAAAAGGCCGGACATTTGGAGATGCTTAAAGGAGGCAAGAAAGACAAGAAGGAAGGCGGAGACAAGAAGAAGTCTGGTTGAAAAGTTTTCGGAAATGTCAACCACCTTCCTAGGGCACGACATAACCAGGTTAATCTACGTCTGCAGGCCTGGCATACTCCGTGCCTCTCTCGGCTCGCTTTAGACGTTGTAGCAAAACGCAGAACCAAGCAAAGCGAGGTCTACGAATGCCGAGGATTGAGCATCTAGTAATGCGCTTCCATCGAGAGACATCTCTGACTTCTACCCACCCACACTCACCATACAGGAGCGCATTGAGGCAGGGTGCACGAGGGGCCAGAAAATCATCTTGTTAGCATATGAGATGCTTTGCTCATCTCGTCTGAGCTGTACTGTAGTTTTAGCCCGAGCCGTGCCGTTGACCCAAGAAATAAAATAGAACTTTGCCAACTAGAAAGCTCCTTAAATGATTCCAGCTCGTGCAGCTTCACCCCCTCCAGCGTCCACAACCGCCTCTCTCTTCATTCCTCTACCAAGACCGCCTTCACCAACTCCCATCCGGCGTGCAACATACCGCTGCGCTACAATGCCCACACTGAGGTTGATGGTCTCCTCCATCCACTCACTAACCCACTCTCGTGGATCCACTCCTCCGCTCTCAATGATTTCTGCAATTTCTTGCGGTACTTGGCCTTCCTCGCCCTCGGCCTCGGTATTGGCAGGCGCATCCAGCCACTCTACCCACTTGGCCGGAATCGATTGTGAAAGGCCCTTGAAGCTAATGCTATGTATGGGGTCATACAGGTAGATTGCGAATGTCACCTGCTCTTCGTCCTCGTCCTCGTCTTCGTCATCATCCGAGTCGTCTGAATCGTCATCGTCATCTTCATCTTCTGCTTTCCCCTTCTGACCCGCAGATGAGGTTGCAAACAGACCCTCTTGTTGCGGGTAACTGATGGCCTGGATTGCAATAAATATGTCACTGCTTCTCACAGGGTTCGTCTCGCTCAGCACTTCCGTCGCTTGCTTTGCGGCTGCTTCTATGCCTCCTCTTGCGTTGAAAAACTCGTTGGCATAGGATTCAGCGCTCACTCGGGCAAGCTTGGTGCCTTCAACGAGCCCTTTGACTACACTCAAGTCGCGCTTCTCCGCGTGGCGCCACCATGGGCCGTCGTTCCAGCTTCCGCCACCACCCCGGTACCCGTCTAATGAACCCCGCTGCGTTGACTCGGAGCCGCGCTGGACGACCATGAGGTCGCCGCCTTCTACTTGTGACATGACCCCAGAGAAGGTTTGGTAGATGAGTGGGTCGAGGGAGGGGTAGCCGATGAGGTCGTGTGTAATGTGAATCTGTAGCCGTTCATGCTGAGAGATTGGCGGCGCGAGTGTGTTCAAGAGGTTTGTGAAGGTGGGTACGGCACGCTTGCCAAGCTCTCCGCCTGTAGTCTGTCAGTATGGTAATAATGCGACTTGGTGGCTGCATTCATACCAATGCCGCGAAGGGCGCCAACGTTCCCTCGCACTTGCTCCGCCCATCGCTGAGCCTCTTGGTTCTTCTGGATCTCTTGGTAGGCCGCCTCGGCTTGCTTCCGCGCCGTCTCTGCTGCAGCAGTGGCAGTCGACACAAGCCCTCCCCATCCGCCTCCCCACCATGACCCTCCTCCAGACGAGCGTTCCTCTTTTGGCTCGGACGCTTGTGCTTTGGCAGGTTCCTCTTTGCTCGGTACAAAGCTCTGGTGGTAGGAGCGGGTGCTCTCTCCAGACTTCCTTGGAGCTGACGGCCTGTTGTCTTCGCTTGTGCGTGCTGAGCCGGTAGATGAGGGTGTCGCGACGCCTGGTGCCCGGCGGTTGCTGGAGGCGGACGATGACGCTACTTTGGGGGTGTTGGGGCGGCTGATCTGGCGAGGCACGGCAGACTGCGGAGCCTTTCCCAATTGCTCGAGCTCGTCGAGATCCTTGAGAGCATCGTCCTCGACCTCGAACTTTTGGCGAGGCGCACGAGTCCCTCTGGCATGCTTGTTAGGCGGGGGTGCGGGTGCCTCGGCCAGCTTCTCCAGTTCGGCGAGCTCTTCGTCAGCCGTCTTGGGGGGCATGGTGGCTCAAGAGAAAAAAAGAAAAGAAAAGAAAAAACACCAGAGAACAATGGCAAAAGAAAGCGGAACAGCTTCTGGGTGCAGGCGGAGATAGTGTGCGTGAGTATACAATGAGTATGCACACACGGCGGCCGTACGTAGAGACGTCGGCGGATTGCCTGGACCATCTGACAGGTACATGCTGGTCAATTTAGCGTCAGGCCCGTCATTGGTCGGGCGACCATCTGCCAAGCGCATCATGGTTCGCTTTTGCTGTAGCAGCCACGACCCCGAGACAAAGATCATCACACGCCGTATCGCGTACTATTCCATTTGGCATTTTCTTTCCTTGATACCCTCTATCTGCCGCTTGCGCCGGTTTGCGCGACCTCGTTGCTGCGGCATTAGGTTTTGTTCGCCTGGCCGGCCTGCAGTTTTGCGTCTCCTTAGCAGGCTTACGATTCGCGCGCTACGCCTCCCTGGGACCCTCCATGGAAGCATTGCGTCGACACATGCGCCATAATCTCAACCCGACGCAAATTGTTGCTCCTGTGTCGCTGGCTTGCCCCAATGCCCCTCTCCAAGAATGCGCCTGCGCGCTCCTCACAGCGCAGGAATTCGCAGCAAGACGACACGCCTACCCGGACCCGTGGTCGAGGAGCAAAACCAGCCCCATCAAAATCAGATGCTCCAGAGGGCGTTGCACCAAACAGCAGTCCTACTAAACTCAGTCCCACCATGACGAGGAAGACGACTCGTTCGGCCTCAAACATTTCAGGTAATTCGCTCGAGGCTGCATCCGACATCTACGCCTCGTACGAGCATCCCCTGTTTATGGTGTTTGGCCTGTCGCCCGAGTTTTTCAACAGCCTCAAGAAGCATCACGGCAAACTCCCAAAAGAGCGGAAAATTATCGTCGGTTCCTTTACTGAGGGCTCCCCTACTCCAGAGGAAGATGCAACTGAATCTGAAGAAGAGAGTGCCTCAGAAAGCGAAGACGACATGCCAGTGGCGCCTCAGCCTGCGCCAAGAGGCCGCGGTCGCGGTGGTCGGGGCTCGCGCGGTGGACGCGGTCGAGGCGGCCGTGGACGAGGCAGAGGCGGACGCGGCAGAGGAGGCTTTGGAAAAGCGACTCCATCTTCTTCTTCAAGAGCTCGCAATGGTACTGCCATCTTCCCCTTCACAGATGGAGATGATGCTCTGTCCAACCAGAGCACGCCGATCAGCAATGCCAAGACGCGAACACGCTTGGGTGGTAGCGCGTCAGAATACAGCTCAGACGATGACAATGAAGAAGCAATTGAAGATGACGAAAGCGAGCCTGATTACGATGGTATGGACGTTTCACAAAAATCCCAAGGAACGCCACACGGCTCTCAACCGCCCGACATGGACGACTCCATTCATGCAAGCGCACACATGTCGGGACAGGCACCTGACTCCAAAGCTGAATCAACAACAAAGACGTCTAACAGACTTGGTGTTCCCAGGATTGCCTTGTTACCACAGTCAGCATCGCAGACACCGAGAGACTCTGCATCGACGCCGGCAGAATCCGCTGTTCCCAAGTTGCTCGACCCCGAAGAGGACGTTCTCTCAGACTCTGACCTTCCCGATCCATTCATCTACGACGCGCCGTCTCCAGTCGAGGCCGATTGTGAGGACAGGGCCGACTTTCTTTTGCAAAAGCGTTTCAAGCCAATGGCCGATGTGCAGGCTGCCATTGCCGCCCTGACCAAGTTCCCTGCCTCTCAAAGAAGTACAGAGAATCTCTATGCACTAACCGAAAACGCACAACATATTCTCAAAGCCTGGCAAGATGAATATCTCATGTTGGATGCAAGGGTGGGTGTTACCTGTAAATTCGACTTGTTCTTAACTAACAGCCCCAGACCGCACCCCACATGCACCCGGCCAAGAAAGCTTGCAATGGCGGGCGAATTCCATTGACACCTGAGGTCTTTGAAGACATGAAAGAGGCGGATTTGTATGGCTACACTTATGATCCCAAAAAACCATTGGGATGTCAGGACCCCTGGGCTCAACGACCAGGTGCAGAGAAGGGTGGCCGTAGGGAGCTCCGAACACGCCGAACCCGTGACATGTTAGAATCAGCAGCCCCAAGCGAAGAGGAATACGAGGACGACAACGACGGCCGCCCTTCCAAGCGACAACGAAAGGCTCCCCGCAAATTCGATGGCACTGAGGTTGCCACAGGTGCTACTACCCCGAAGAAGCACAATGGATGGGGTGGCGCGCGTAAGAAGGGCGTCAGCAGGTTTGCCAAACCTGCATCCGAGACTCCAGAACCAGAATCAAGGCCTGTAAAACGTGCAAGGGCAACAGCCAGCAATCTGCTCCACCAGCGTATTCAAGAAATGCGAGAAGAATCTATCATCGGAAGTTCCGGAGACGAAGAGTCATCGGCTGTGGATGTTGATGAATATACGGAGGTTAACCCCAAGCGTGGGCGTCCGGCTGGTAGCAAGAATTCCGCTCGACGCAGCGACTACGGCGTGAAGAAAGGCCCACGCAAGAAGACAAGCGATGCAGGCACGCCTGTACCGTCGGCTCATGGCCCTAGTGCACCACCACCTGCACTCAACTCAATGAGTGAAGGCCAAGGTCAGTTTACCATTGAAACCCAGCCTTTTGCAGAAAGTACACCCTTGATGGTACCGAACTCTGCTGAGACGGTTTTCCAAGGCACGTCGCAAAATTCTGCACCGCCTCAAGAGGTACCGCTGGTGCACCCGAGTGAGTCTAGTACACCAGACGCGTACATGCTCACTGCACCTCTAAGTCAGTACACCAACAATTATGTCGACGAGTCGGCGCCCGCCTCAGGTTCGAGAAGGAAGCCACGCGTTAAGAGCGAAAAACGAAGCCAGTCGATGACCATGTGGTGGGCCGAACGCAAAGCCAAGAAACGAGAGCAGGACGAGAAGGAAGGCAAGCCAGCAAAACCTACACCTTCAAGGTCAAATTCTGCAAGCCGAAAGGGGGCTAGGCAATCTGGGGGATCAGCGGCTGCAGCGACACCACAGTCACAACAGTCTGAGTCGCAACAAGCATCTCCAGTTCACCATGCACAGCACGCTCCTCCCCAGCACAGTCCTCACCACGCGCCTCCAGAAGCATACCTTCATTATACCCAAGGGCCACCTGGACCACCACAGCACTACATGTATGTCTCTGCTCCAGGGCCGCCACATCACATGATGATGTCTTATTCGCCGCTTGCTGCGCTCCCAACTGGCTCGTTCCCAGGCCCATTTTCACATCATCCACCACACCACCAGCAGGGCATTCCTCTTGCCCAGCCTAGTTCTACAAGTGGGCCATTCGGAGGTGGGCCACGCCAACTTGCCCCGGCACCCACGAACATGCCGACCTATCCTAGTCCATACGGGCCGCAGAGCCCGGCCAGTGGAAGACCAAAAAGCCGTGGTCAGTCGATACCCAAGAGTGCTGGAAATGGACAGCAGGCGCTGGCGCCAGCACCGCCTCAGCAACAACAGGGACAACATTCTCAACAGAGCCCGCCAATCTTTACTCCGTATGTCCCTGTCAGCATGGCCGGGGGAATAGGACGCGAGATGCCTTTCAAGGTCATGGTCCCTGGGCCCACTCCTGAGCGGAGGGAAAGTCGTTAGGTACGGCTGCTTGCTGGAGGTAGCAAAAGTGGGGAGGGCAGGAATGAAAGCGAAGACGAGGCTTGGATGCTTGTATAGAGGGTGGGGATTCTCTGTTTGATTCATAATAGGAGCTCGAAAGCGAAGGTGTGATTGCATAATCAGGGCAAAGGTCACGAGAAGTCCTTTGTATTATAGTTCTTACATTGAAGCGTTGATTTTGTTGGTTTGTATGTCTGCATTGAGCATCGCGTGGTTATTGGCCTTTCACTTCTTTTCACTAGGCTGTGTATCTATATTCGGAACAAGAAATTTAAACGTGTTTGTCTTGTGCTATTGTTGTACTCTAGTTGGCTAGTGTGAGACTGACATGCCGCTCCTTCCCCAACGTTTGCAGGACTGCCTTGGCGAAGCGGTGACTGCGTCCTCTCTCTCTCTCACTTCCACGTCTCTCTCTCTCACTCCATCTCTCATTTCCCCGTCTCTCACTCTATCTCTCGCTTCCCTGTCTCTCACTTACCCTCCCTACCTGAGAACGAAAAGGTACCCAAAAGACCCGGTCTATCCTTCTCACCCTCTTGTTGTCTTCTCATACAAGACTGCCAGTATCATCACCATGGACGAAGATAGCAGTAGCCTTCATAACAATATCGCCGCCCCTACCGCCTCCTTGAATACCGTTGATGGCTCCTTCGACATGACTCCGCCTACCGAAAAGCCTATCAAAAACATTCATCACGACAGCTTCTTTGAACTTGCACGTTTGATGAAGGAGAAGAAACCGTATACTGCCACTCCAAATCTGACTCCACGCCTGTCGCCCCCTGCCAGACCAAACAGTAATTAGCAACAAACAACTGTACAACCACATGCTAAAATGCTATAGGCTCGCATTCTACCGACCGTGTTCTTGATGCAGATCGATCTTTTTCCCGCTCGACGAAGTCCTTTACTGCGCCCGAGACTGTCGCTGAATTTCTTGAGAAGCAAGAAAATCAAGTGGATGACAAAGTTGGTCTCAGCCGTGGAGACGAGAGTGCACGTTCGCACGAGGCGCAGTCAACTACATCTTCGAGTAGTGACCTAGCGTATCCCTCAGACATCGAGCCGCTTCCACGTGTGGTATCAGTTGAGTCACCAACATCTAATGAATCTCTTCAAACACCTCGACTAGAGGAACACATACCAATGCTCGGACGCCACACTCTAGCTCCCGAGCAAAGCGACGAAGAAATCCAAAGAATGGAGGACGATGGTGGGTCGCAGTTATGCAGGCTCAAGTACCAAAATGAGGTTAACAAAGACCAAAAAGCATCGATGTGCCGACTCTTGGCTGAGAAGGAGATGAGGATCAAGACTCAACAGCTAGATTTTGATAGACTGGCTCGGAGAATGACAGAATTAGAGGCTGAGCTCAAGGACTTGGAAGAAGCGGCTAGTAAGACTGGATATTTTCATGACTTTTGCTTCCATCAAACTGACAGGTGGTAGGGGAGCGTGATTTTCTGCGCAGCACTGTCGCGAAACTAGCTCGTGAACGAGATGAAGCCTTGCAAGCCGCTACCTGCGCGCAAGATTACCAAACCCGCATCCAAAAGCTTACCGATCATCTTGTGAGGTTCAAAGAAGCCAATCTCGAGCTACGTCAAAAGCTTGTGGAAGAAGGCCTCAATAAGATTAATCTGGGAGAAGATAATGAAGATCTCCAAGCCAAACTTCGCGAGAAGACCAGTCTTTGTGACCGCCAACGCGACCAGCTGAAGACTGTCGAACGAGAACTTCGGATCTCTGAGGAGCGTCTCAATAATACACAGAGTGGCCAGTTGTTACAGGGCGCTGCGCATCTTGTCAGGCCGCACATGCATGCTGAGCTACCAAAGAGGGTGGTTGCATGCTCCGAGTGCTACGCCAACAATCTGGAGTGCGATAGTGAGGCGAGATGCCGCAGCTGTACCGAACGTGACGTATCGTGCGGGCGTTGGAGGTGCTCAATGAAGCACAAGCTGGGTGATTGTCCTCTTGCACTATGCAAACTCTCACATGACTCGCAGGGCTGGCTTATCCTCCCAAAAGAGAGGCCTCAGTGGTGAAGAACATACAGTTATTAGAGATGGTACTGCGTGAGTGAAAAAGGGATAACTCGGGTAGCTACTTTTAAAGGGGTTTCTGTATACGTCTTAATAGCGGATTTACGGGAAGATGGGGGCTACATGGATTTGTATTATGCAGGCTACTATACATGTGCATCCGGATAATGGGGTAGCCTTTGCAAAGCTTTCCAAGAGCTTATGGATATCGATATATGTGATACGAGAATCTCGTGTCTGAGGTATGTGAATTCAAGTATATATTTTTCTAGTTCCTTCAAAGTTCACGATCACTGTTTCCAATCTATGATTTCTCTTCTAATGATGGCACATCGGAATATGATCAGTGAGAGAGAGAGATAACAATGAATAAATTCAATTCTTAAATAGAAGCATGTGCTCTATATATATGCTGCTAAGCAATCTACTGAGAAATCTCATGTAGTAAAACTGCCAGGTGTTCGATTGGCCGCTATGATCTTTTCCATGCGTCTGGGGAATGGCTTTGGTAGCTTTTGTATCATATAGCTAATCATCTGCCAAATCGCTTAAGCTCCCACATCCTGAGCGGCGGATACACGACCGAAGCCCATGCGAAACCGACAAAGTTACCCATCTAGAGAGTGTTAGTATGAGTTACCAAAGTTTGCACATGTATTTCACATACATCAGCACCGTAGGTTCCAACTTGTTTAGCGATAGGCCCAATATACCAGACTTGTGCCATGCACATGATGGCGCCAATCCAACCGATGACAAAGGCAACCAACGCTGCAATGCCCAATGGCAGCTTCTTCTTCTGGTTCCATACTTCCCAGTTGAACCCGGTCTTACGCCGGAAGATCAAATGCTCCTCTAGGATAATGGCAATCCAGATAGACACCCAATAGCCCATAAGGGCCAGAAAGTTGGTAAAGATTTCCGCGAGATGCGCACGTCCTGCCAGTGCGCAGACTGTAAAGATGATGACGCCAACGGTATTCCAGATCACTCTTGGTATGGCAGCAGCGTAACGGCCGAGGATTTGTGCATCGATTCCAGAAGAGTATGTTGGTACAATGAGGTTGGCGACGAGTCCCAAAGCGACAATCACGCCACAAAAAGAGCCAAATGCGCCGAGAGGCTTGTATCCCTCCACAATGAGCGCACCCTGCGATACGCCGTACGCTGCTTCCCAGTCTGCATTGTTCGACATTCCGGATGCCAGCCCAATCCCTAGAACAAAAGCAAATGTAAAACTACACATGAGGCCAATCATGGTCATACTGAAGATGCTTAGAGACGATGCATGTTCAGGATAGTAAACAAAGTAGTCGGCCGCACCACCACCATACGTGATCGCCGCTGCAAGAGTAAGGCCAAAGAAGCTGATGCGATTCCCGATGATGGTATTTGGATTTTCGTCGCCATGAGACTCGGAAGATATGTCGAATCGCGGGCCTGCAACGCCCGCCAATATGCAGAGTACCACGAGCTGCGGCAGCCAAGCCCAGCGCTCGTAATAGTGAAATGTCTGGTATCCGAATGTGGTAATTGCCCAAGCAATGACGGCCACGATGATGATGCCGACCACGACAGACATGGAATTTGTCGAGACAGCGGAGAGGATTTGACCTGCTACTACACAGTCGATCATGCCATATCCGAGCAGTACGATGATGTTGAGTAACACAATGATTTTCGATGGCCACCAACCCGTAATGTACCGCGAGAAGATCATGGTACGGTTACCGCTCTTAGGACCAAATGTGGCGACATAGGCGACTACAAGGCAACCAACCAGTGCACCGAAGACACTCAATAGACAGGCGTCTGTGAAGCCGAGGGCGAAAACGGCAGGGCCAAGCATGCCCAGTGTGATGTTGTTCGCTGCCAAGTTGACACTAAACCACATGATTGCGACCTGTGAATAACCCAAAAGGCGCAAGTCATGACGTTCGTGGGGCTCGACGCGCTGGATGCCGCGGGCCTCGAGATTGTATGCTACAAGCTGACTCTCGAATGTTTTCCATGACTTTTGCCATTGTGCATAGCGTGTATGATCCTGGCGCTCGATATCGTGAGTCAATGGTGAACTGCTTGCGCCCGGCGCATCTGGCGCTTTCTCATCGTGTGGCTTCGCGATGGAGTTCATGGCACCGACCTAGAGCCATTAGCAGCAGCCTCCAGCTTGAGAAGGGAGCAAAGCATGAGTCCTTTCGCAGGCTTTAACCTGATCAAGTTCAGACCGTATATCTCAGATCGCTGCCGTTCACAAAGGAAACAACAGCGAACACCGGTCTCATGCATTGTGTTACCTGAGGTTACCTTGATCGGGCGACATTCTGCTACTTGGTTGCATCATGGCTGCAATGCCGTACTTTGTTTTAAAGGTGAGATTTGCAATGTAGTACAGAGAGATGAATTGGGAGAGGGGTGCAGGAGGTATGGATTCAGAAAAGAGCAATCATGTGTGGGGGTGATTATCAAGAAGCCCCGCCCGCGGACATCGTGCCGTCTGAAAAATCCCTGCGCATCCCGCGCAGCCCAGCCGTAACCCTTGTAACGTGACGTGATAGTGACCCACAATTCTTGTCATTGAATTCCATGTCGTAAACATAGCTTCTACTACTGCAGAGACAAACTAAATGCAAACGCTAGAAATGGCGCGAAAAGTCAAGCTTCGAAGACATGAGCTTGTCAACCGTTGGTACGTTCAAGTCAGCTTCTGTGGTTTGACATCATGACCGTACCACTAGACATGAGATGATAGTTATCAACACCACCGTGCGCGTTCAACAAGTTTGCGTGACTCTTTACCACCTACTATTTCAAGGCTAGTCCATGTCACACACATGCTCCCGCTCGACATCTGCAGATCGTCTAAGACCGGGACGAGGGTAACCCCACAACAAGGCAGCATCCACGTTCTTCGTATCCGATTGGAATATATAGTGTCAAGTCCAGTCGCGTAGCTTCGTAGGATGATTTCACAGAAGCTAAACCGGTTGTTAACCACCGTGCCAATGGTACCCTATCATAGTTTTCCGGATGGTAGTTTAAGTATCTGGCAAGACGCCTTAGCCGTGGAACCTTTTTGCAATTGAACAAGCTATCTTTCAAGTCTCCGGTATCATGGTGTGCGTGAAGAGTCTCCTAGTAGCTATCGGGCTGACGCCAGCTCTGACTCGCGCTGCGCCAATAATTCACGGACGCGACTCCAACAGCACATGCAGAAGAACCAAAGTAGCAATCATGTATGATGGATTGTATCTACTACGCAAATTTAGCGACTGACCTTATCAGAGGAGGAGGCGTTGCCGGCATAACAGCAGCTGTGAGTATGCCTTTTTGAATACAGTCGTTATCCGACACAGTATCTAATATGTCAAAAATTGTACCATCATACTGAATTCTCACTAGCAAGCACTATCTAATCAATCGGTCTCTGACTTTCTCATCCTCGAGTACCAGGATCGAATTGGAGGCCGCATGCTAAACACCAAATTTGGCTCAGACTCCAGCGGCAACCCATACACGGTCGAGCTCGGCGCAAATTGGATCTCAGGATTAGGCGAAAACGCCAAAAACGGCCCAGAAAACCCAGTATGGACGTTTTCAAAGCAGGTCAATTTGGCGAGTCCCGATTCTGATGCTTTTTCTATTGCTACCTACAATGAGACTGGGGCTGTCGATTTCACCGGGATCCTTGATGAGTTCGAAGAGACCTGGAGTAGCTTTGAGCAGAGGGCTGGGACGATACTTTCAGAAAACCTACAGGACAGAAGTGCCCGCGCCGGCTTTTGGCAGAGCGGATGGCGACCAAAGGGTGACCCCATGCGCAAGGCAGTAGAATACTATCTTTGGGATTGGGAGACAGCGCAGGTATGCTCTCAGCATAATTCTTAGATATCGAAAATATGCTAATTTATGATCTTGTTACACAGACACCTGAGGAGTCTGGCTTCGTATACGGAATCACGGGATGGAACTTGACATACTATGGGTTTTCCGAGGAGAGCAAATGTAAGTCCTCTTCCAAATGCACGCATCGGAAAATTTACTAATTTCAGTGGTTCTACAGTCTCCGCTGACCCTCGAGGCTTCAGCACATGGCTCAAACACCAGGCGTCCAAATTTCTCCAACCAAATGACCCACGTCTCCTTCTCAACACTATCGTGACAAACATTAGCCACTCGGACACTGGTGTACACATCACTACCTCGGACGGCTCCTGCGTAGAGGCCGATTATGCCATTTCTACCGTATCTCTCGGCGTTCTACAGAATGAAGTCATTACCTTCGAGCCCGAGCTACCAGAATGGAAGCAATCTGCCATTGCCACTTTCGCTTTTGGCACATACACAAATATCTTCTTCCAATTCAACGAAACCTTCTGGCCAGACGAAAAGCAATTTCTCCTCTACGCAGATCCAACGAACCGAGGCTACTGGACCGTCTGGCAAAGTCTTTCAACCGAAGACTACTATCCCGGCTCGAACATTATCTTCGCTACGCTCGTAGACGAGCAATCGTACCGCGTCGAGGCGCAAGATGACGAGGCTACCAAAGCAGAGGGCATGGATGTCCTCCGCAAGATGTTTCCCAATGTCATGATCCCGGAACCTATTGCGTTTACGTACCCGCGCTGGACTCAAACGCCATGGTCGTACGGCTCTTACTCAAACTGGCCTGTTGGCACAACGCTCGAGATGCATCAGAACCTGCGCGCGAATGTGGGAAGATTGTTTTTCGCGGGTGAGGCTATGAGTACGGAGTACTGGGGTTTCCTCCATGGAGCGTGGTATGAAGGTCGCGAAGTGGGACATCGCATTGCGGGACAGCTGACTGCTGAGTGCGTCAACGTTGCGAGCGGGTGTGGCGATATGAACAAGTATGAGGTGTTGCATGGGACGACGGAGCTTTCGGAGCTCAATGCGTTTAATGGCATGAGGACGAGTCCGTTCTTCATTGCTGATCCTGAGGATGAGACAGACGCATAACAATAAAACGTGGACATCTATTATTTGACGAATGCTCAAAGACTTATGATCAGAGATACGAAGGTATCGTGTGCAGTGTAACATTGTCGTCTTGTCATTTCGTATCTAATTTGAGCTCAATATCCGCCCATATTGGCACATGATCGCTCGGCCCTCGTTCTGCTTCACTGTTCATAATCCCGCAAGCCTTTACACATCCCATTTCCCAAAGTCTCCGTACAGCCATAAAGTAGTCCACCCTATCACAACTAGTGCCCCATTCCGTGTTACGTGGATAGTACGTATACCTCCTCTCTTGCTCATGCATCTTCCTCCAGATATCGACGTCGTTCAGCCCAACATATTCCTTCTCTTCACCACTTCCCTCAAGCAACATGTCGTGAAAATTTGCACGATTAACGACGTGGTCCCTAGGAAAGACTCGCAATTTAGGATACCCATCGCGCTCATCGGGAGCAACATTCATATCACCCGCAAGCAACACATCTCAGCCCTGCTCCTCTAGTCTCTTACACTCCTCCATCAACAAACGATGGAATTCTCGCTTGCGATCGTGTCTCGTTCCCCGCACAGCTCCGGTGCGTGTGTCGTGATACAAGTTTTCTGTTCCATTGACAGCGTAGATGTTGAAGATTGCGAGTTTCGACAATGTGGCTCGGCATGTGAGTTCTACTATTGAGACTCGGCCTTCGCGATCCTAGTCAACTGTTTGTACTGCTGTTGTGTACATGTCGTTCAAGTTGCGGCGCAAAATGCTGCATACACCATATAATTTTCCGCTTCTCCACGGACCACGCGCATTGTGGGAATTGGTAGGAAGGGTGAAGTGCGCGTCGTATAGTGAATCCTTTGAAGTGTTTGAACTGGTCTCTGAGGGCAGGTGCGTGTTGATGGCTGTCTTCACAGCATCTTGTGTTTTTATATCTTTGGATGCGATCTTGACTTCTTGGAGGAAGATGATTGATGGCCACTGCTGGCGGTGCAGGAAAATCCGGAGTGAAGCAAGATATGTTTCATCTTTGCTATCCTCCTTACTGCCATTTTTTGGTGCCTTGAAGAATGACGTAATTGATGGTTGGAGAAAGGGTGAAGTTCCGTTGATGTTCCATGAGAAAATGCGTAAGGTGTTTGTTCCAAGTGGTGGAAGAAATGTAGAATTGATGGATGATGTTGTCTTCTGGGAACTCTTCGGCGTTGCAGTTGACTTGGTAGTAGTAGTCTTGCGCCGCCTGGCGGGCGGAGGGCTAATGGCACGATTCATGAATCTCCCATGTCGATATATCGAACTTTACAGCCATCTCAGGTCGTCTATAATAGTATGTGACGTCATGTACCATTGTGTATATTAGAGGTGGTACGGGCTGATATGTGCTGCAAGACATTTGCTAGCGACGGTCGATCGCGCGTGCACGTGGCCGGGACGGGACGCGTCAATTAACATGCTTCACATGCGTTGATTGGGCAGGGATCGGCCACATCATTCATCGACCCCTCTCAACCGCTTAACACTCCAGCTTCAACGCCACCCCTCCGCCACTATTGTAGTATGAACCCAAGTCCCCAATTCCTCAGCCACACTCATATCTCACATCTCAAACTCCTCTAAAATGGCCTACCAACGCAAGAAGAGCCTGCTCATCGGTATTAATTATGTCGGCAGTAGCCACGAACTACGCGGCTGCCACGCCGATGTAGACAACATGGCTGAGTTCCTTTATTACCGTGGCTACGACAACTCTCCAAAGAACCGTGTAATTCTGACCGACCGCCCTGAAGTCCCACCCGACTCTCCCTACTACCCCAACGGCCACAACATCCTTGCAGCAATGGACTGGCTCGTCTCGGAACCTGGATGCACTCTCTTCCTTCACTACTCAGGCCACGGCGGCCAAGTTGCGGATACGGATGGAAACAGGACGACGGGTCTGGATGCATCCCTTGTCCCCATCGACTTTGAGCAAAGAGGTCAGATTTCGAGTACGATTCTGCACCAGCATCTTGTCACTCGCATGGCACGTGATTGTACACTCTTCGTAATCATGGACTGCTGCCACTCTGGAAGTGCGCTAGAACTCCCCTATGTTTACCGCTCCGACAGTGATGGGCAGATCAGTCTCATGGACAATCTGAAGACGGGTCTCCACCTTGCAGAAGAAGCTCGCGATATCATCTCAGGTGGCTTTACGTTCGATAAGGTCGGCGAGGCGCAACAGCTTCTTGCCGGAGCCAGCAGCTTTTTCAAGGGCCTCAGACATATGGGCGAAGAGCAAGAGGAAGGGCTTGAAGACGGAGAGTTTGCTGACCAATATGGTCATGAACGGAAAATGGTCACCATGTTCTCTGGTTGTAAAGATGAGCAGACAAGTGCTGATGCGCATATTCAAGGCCGTGCAACCGGGGCCATGACTTGGGCGTTTCTAGAGATGATGAAGACTACGGAACGCCCAAGCTATGCTGAGGTATGTTTTCTATGTTAAAATATTGTGCGTTGCTGACTGGTTATAGACCCTCAAATATACAAGAAAGCTTCTGGATGAAAGTAACTATACTCAAATTCCCCAACTGAGCTGTGGGCTGGACATTGATCTGGATGAGATGACATTGGTGCTATAATCTCGATGAGATATACGAAAAGTGGGCAGTAGCCACTGAAATAAATATGCTGATGTATTGACACAACTCGACATTAGAATTAGAATTAGCGATGACTTAGTGACATACTGCAGTTTGATGTTTTATGTGTGCACCCATGTCATGTTAATACCAACGAACAGTTCTTTGTTCCAGACAACGGGAACACTGATAAAGTACTATGGCAAACTTGATCCAAAATCTTGAAGAGAAACAAACAACAGCATGAAGATCGACTACTTTATCATAGTCCAACACGTATTTTCTTAATATCTTCTTAACCACCAAACGTACTCCAACCCAATTCCAGAATCCTCCCACACCCACAAGCAGAAATGGCAGACAGCCCCATAACCACCCTATACACACACATCCTCTCTAAAACCAACCTGATCCTCGCTCCACATGGTACCAGTGAAAAGACCGTGAACGAGATATCTATTCTGTACACCCTTTAATATTTTTCCCCTGATCTCCGTACGACACTAACAATTCTCTCTTCTTAAGAAACCCTCGCCCTACTCGCGCTTCATTACCTGAACTCACCCGATGTCAACTCTCTCCAAATCAGCGTCTCGATCATCACATTTTCCCATGCAAAGTCCCTCTGGTGAAACCAAGCTGATTCGCAAAGTCTCTCTCGTGGTGCAAGATGGGCCAACGAGTTATGTGTCGGGAATGCCTACAGAATCGCGTATGCATGTGCTCATTGAGTACATTGGTCACGATGGGCATTGTGAGGATTCGATTAACGGGCTTGCATCTGTTGCGGAACGCGTATTTTAGGCGATAGTAGAGGGAGAAGAGGAGTCTGTGGATGCGTGTGGAGGAAAGAAGAAAGAAGAGGGATGCCAAAATCCATAGTGGCACAGACCTGGTGTGGGATGTTGAAGGGTGAGACGAGGATTTCTGAGCCCACTAGCAATATGCTTTCTACAAAACCCCCCACAAGACGCATGGTATGTAATTAGAATAAGAATTGATTCTCAGTAACGAGGTACATAGCCAGAAAAAACAGCCAATCATTCATATATACTTAGATCAGAGGTATAAGTAAGAAAAAGAACGAAACAGACATACAAAAGGTATCCCCAATATCCAATGAAAATCCATGCACACCAAAAACACCCATCCCGCTACCTTTCCAATGCCACGAAGGAAAAGGAACGCGACCAGAAATAAACGCCTCTCGAATGCAACCATTTACCACCCGTCATGCGTTGGAGGCGTACTCTTGAAGACATCTAATCCTTAGCGACCTCCGCCCTGACTTCACCCTTAACGTTTTCAGTGTCACGTTCCGCTTCGCCCTCCTCTTTTGCCGCGGAAGTCTCTTCCTTATCATCAGTTTCTGCCATTTCCACGTCAGCAACTGGGGCTGATGTGGGTGCCATTGTAGCAGGCACAGCAGTGGGTGGTGACTCAGGTGGGGTTACAACACCTGCAGGAGATGGTTCCCGCTCGGGTGCAGTAGCAGGAGCGGCAGTATCGGTGGTCTCAATGGCGGCCGGAGGAGCAGCCGCCGGAGCAGTCTCAGGGGCAGTCTCGGGGGCGGCCTCGGGAACAGGTTCAGGGGCAGACTCAGGGACGGGTGCGTCCATGTCAACATCACCATCTTTATCAACCTCCTGCTCAGCAGCAGCAGGCGTCTGTGTACGCGACTTTGCGCCTGCAGAGGGTTGTCGAGTCGAAACAGCGCTTCCGCCATTGATGTCTTCCATGAGATCCAGGGCATCAGCTGGGGCTGCATTAGGGTTGGGGAAGTCAGTAATATTTCGTCTCTTCTTGACACCGGGCTGAGCGCGCACTCCGAGGTTGTTCTTGTAATCCTCATCATCGCTTGCATCGTAGAGTTCACCGTCATGTTCAATCTGCTTATCACGCTGGCGCTGCGTCATGCGCACATCTCGGTTTTCGTCCGCATCCATATCGTCTTCTTCGTCTTCAGCATCAGAGTCCATAGCACGACCTAGAGCCGTGGGCACATCCGGAATTGTTGTGAAAGCCTCGACGGATGGTCGTCCTGTTCTGCGAATATTCTCAATAACAGCTGATTTGATCTTATGCAAATAGTCGTGAGAGTTGGCGTTTTCCATATTTGATGGCCGGACATCCAGTTCGTAGTCGGGCGCAAAGTACTCGTAGTAGTCGTTGAAAGGTAGCTGCTTGGACATTTTCTGCGAAACAAGCTCTCCAGTCTCGTATGCCCAGGTTCGCGCGACATTCCTCATGGTGTAACCGCCACCTCCTAGGACGATGACTGGTACACCAAAGCTCTTGACGTACCTGACACAGTTGGCATGTCCGTCCATGCTCAGGTTGAAGCAACCGAGCCTATCTCCCGAAAGACTGTCACCACCGCATTGTAGAACGATGGCTTCAGGTCCATAATAAGTCATTACTGCTTCGATGACAGGCTCAAAGATGTTTCGGTATGTCTCGTCGGTGATACCGTCTCGGAGGGGGAAGTTGACGGAGTAGTTTTTGCCACTGCCAACGCCAATGTCGCGAAGTTCGCCAGTACCTGGAAAGTACTCTCCATATTTGTGGAATGAGACGGTCATGACACGATCGGTAGTATAAAAGGCCTCTTCAACACCATCTCCGTGGTGGACGTCGATGTCGATGTAAAGAACACGCTGCTTATACCTGAGCAACTCAATGATTCCGAGGACAATATCATTGACATAGCAGAATCCACTGGCCTCGCTCTTTTTCGCATGATGTAGACCACCAGCCCAGTTTACAGCGACGTCACATTTCCCTCGGTTCAGGCGAGCGGCGCCCTCCATGGTACCGCCAGCGCTGATACCGCAAAATTCAAAGAGGCCGTCAAATACAGGGCAATCGTCTCCGACGTTGTATTTACTTTGCTCGCGGGTGAATTGCTCCATATTGTCTGGCGTGACCTTGTGCAGGAATTCGATGTACTCGTCCGTGTGGAACTGCGTCATCTCGTACTTGGAGGCGGGTTTTGCGCGCTAGGTCTTGTCAGAAATTGTCTTGAGGAATGACATTCAGGGTCCACCTACGTAGATCTCCATCTTTGTGTAGAGGCCGTAATTCATAATGAGACTATGCGCCATTCGTATACGATGCGGCTTCATGGGATGCCCCGCAACATAGGCGTAGTTACCGACGTCGGAGTCGTAAAAGTATGCGACCTTCTTTGGCTGCGAAGCGGTGCCGTTATTTATGTGGACAGCGCCAGTTGGGCCTGCCATGTCGTTTCCGTCCACCATGTTTGTGGTGGCTGCGCGCAGCTACGTGACTATCTTGTGTTGATTGGGATGCTCTCAAAGCTCTGGGGAGAAAACCAAGCGGATCTTGGTAGGCGCGAAGGGTGTGAGAGTTTATGGAGTCCTCGAAACTGAAGGGTCAGGAAAAAGTGGAGGGGCCTGGACGAGAGATGGGGAAGCTTTGAACAAAGACGCGGGCATGGAGCATTCGAGCTGCGCCGGGGTACCCCTGCTTAGTGCCGGTACCGGAACAACATCATCGCCGGATATGGCAGTCGCGCAGTTACGTGAAGCTCCGAGCATCGATAGCTCGAAGCCATCATCGCCCTCGCCGCCGCCTTACCCAAACAACCACTTCACTTACTCGTGGCGGACAATCCCGTCTTTGTCT